CAATACATATGCTGCTGTTTTGTCGGCTTTTCTTATTGTTACGTCTTTCAGATTTTTTAGTTGTTTCGCTGCTTCTTTGAGTCGTGGGGTTAAGATTGTAGATGAATATGTTCCTCGTTTTTTCCCTGCTTCTGCAAGTAGTTCAGCTTGAAGTGTGTCAGTGGTGATGACTTTAAGTTATGGTGATGACCGTAAGTTAACATCCCTAAATGGTGGACAGCTAAAAAATCCCTCGTCCTAAAGATGGCTACTTTAACCTGACTTCTTATGATCTTACCCAGGACCAACGAGACCTCTTAAATCTTGGTCTAAATTGTCAATTCTTATTTAAACCAAAGATGCATCAAAACGCCTGGAAATCGAAATGCTTCTGGACGATATCCATAAGCTAGAAGACAACAAAAAAGTCATCACCACTGACACACTTCAAGCTGAACTACTTGCAGAAGCAGGGAAAAAACGAGGAACATATTCATCTACAATCTTAACCCCACGACTCAAAGAAGCAGCGAAACAACTAAAAAATCTGAAAGACGTAACAATAAGAAAAGCCGACAAAACAGCAGCATATGTATTGATTCCTACCCATGAATACATGAACAAAATTAGCGACATCCTAAGTGACGACTCCAAATTTCAACGAATCACGAGGAACCCCGTAGAAGACCTTAAGCGGAAAGTAAACAAAACAATTACAGCAATTAACGCAAAGAAAGGTGGTGTGCATTTCAATAAACTTCAAGGCGACTATGGCTTAGGATATGCCTACGGCAATGTTAAGACGCATAAACCAGGTAACCCACTACGCCCTATAATCAGCCAAATACCAACCCCAACTTCTCACCTGGCAAAGAAACTCAATGAACTCCTAACTCCATACACTCCAAGTAAGTTTAGTCTACAATCATCAGCAGATTTCCTAGAATTGATCAAATCTACCCAGCCCGATGGAATCATCGCTTCCCTGGACGTTGAATCCCTTTTTACCAACGTCCCAGTCGACACAACCATAGGAATGATACTGGACAGAGTATACAGAGACGAGAGCACCCCCAAATTAGACATACCTGAGCCACACTTGAAAAGTCTTCTCGAAGCATGTACAAAGGAAGCCCCTTTCATCAGTCCACAAGGAGACATGTATTTACAAATAGACGGAGTAGCAATGAACCCCCCTTAGGAGTTTTATTTGCTAATTTTTATATGGGAACCATCGAAGATAGGGTCTTCAGTAGCAGACAAAAACCAACTGTATACTGCCGTTATGTAGATGACATATTCGTAATAGTAAAAGACTCAGATGAACTAATTGACCTTATAATAAGCCTTGAATAATAATTGAATAAGCCTTCTGCAGCCCCTATGTTTATCCCTTATGTATCCCCCCATGTTTTCACCTTCATTGTACTATCACCTGACCTAATGCGGGTATAAAATCAACTAGTATTGTAAGATCTGTTCACTTGAGAATGAACCATGGAGGTTCGAAACGTCGTGCAAATTATACAAATAAGTGTAATACACTCTATAGTAAATCACTTCTTTTCTTCACCTTAAAAGTACGAAAATGAGTTTTGGAGAACTCCTATTTCAATTAAGCCCTGATGCTAAGAAAATAGTTAGAGGGATAGAAGCCCTAAACCAGAAAATAATAAATACAGAATATGCGGTCATATTCAATGAAACATATATAAATATATATATATATATATATATATATATATATATATATATATATATATATATATATATATATATATATATATATATATATATATATATATATATATATATATATATATATATAGAATAGACTCTTCTATATATATATATAGAAGAGCCTGCTCTTCTCTACTAAGGTTACGTATATTATACAACAATAAGATGCTACCTTCAAGATACGTCTACCAGTAGCACTAAACGTTTTGACTAAGGGAGGCAAACGTACCCAAGACTTCCCCCTACTCCACACTCCCTCCATGCCGGCTCCGTCTTCAACCAGTAAACTACCATTCCCAGCTTGCCTGCTTCTGATTGGTGACCCGCAGACTGCACACCTGTACCTCTGCACCTCAGCGCCCTCTACAAGTCGATGTCTGAGCTTGAACCAGCCATTGAAGTCAGAATATCCTTGTGCTCTCAAGCCGTGAACAACTAACTGATATACGCTATCAGGTGGATGTTTCTCAGCTAGCGCTATATTCTCACCACCTGTTTAATCACTTTGTCTTTATATTGTAGAGTAACTTCATCCCTATTCTTCATTTATATTATATGTTTTTGACTTGTTTGTTTGCACTGTACTTAGCCAAGAGATTGTCTTTGTTTTTAATTTGTTTTCTATATTAATTAAAGTTTCATTGTTCATACTATGTGTTTTGCGTGTCTTCCCTTACTTTACCACAGACAACAGGCAAGCAGTCTATCTTTTTTTTGTAAGTGTGACTAGGCATTGACACCAGCCATTAGGAGGACTGCCGAACATCTACACTCCTACACTTTCCCGTCACAATATATATAATATATATATATATAATGTATGTACATGCATATGTTTTACAATTCCTACAAGTTCCCTGTCTCTAGTGGTCTGTAGCCTCTACGTGTCGCCAGCTCAAGTTCAAGTAAGTTTATTGAGACAAGAAAAAAATACATCTCAAAGTGATAGAGTAGCTTTGGCTATTTCTACCCCCCTGTCGCCAGCTCTCTGAAGTTCCGTCACAACATCCTTGGCTGCTCCCTGGCGCCACAGGTATAAGCGTCCTTCCTTGGGTAAAGCACACGCGTCGCCGGTCCTCTCCACGTACCTGTAGAACGCGTTCTGCATCGACTCTCGTTGTTCTGCGTGAGCGACGAGGCAGCCTTATGTCAATGCCCAGTGCACTAATTCACTGCCATGGAAGATATCACGATGGCCGGCTTCCCTAGAGGGGTAAGTTTCGATTCAGGTAGCAGTCACAATCCTATATTCATTGTCGTGATTATGTATCCACAGATATTAAATTCTGCTGCACTTGCTCCCCTGAATGGTTACTATTGAATTGTTGAGCGTCCACAAACGAGAGCCCACAGCCCCTTTGTTGGTATAGATAAACCAAGCACTCCGTTTCTAGGTCTCAGTCGACATTCCACTTGCCTCTTTAAACGGAAAAAAACAAAAAAGCACGTGCTTACCGTGACCTCGGGTGTGCCTTCACCAGCCTCTTCAACGGCTACTCCTTGTGAATTCACACACACCGGGTCGTAACTACTTCCGACACTCACCGGTCAGGACTGTCACTAGGCTTCGACGGTGTATCAATTCGTGTTGACCCACCAAGACCCAAATGAAGGTAATTGCAACTCCCTCCACTGAGCCTGGCATGCTATCAAGTTCCCCGCACTCTCAGCAGGTTCTTTCGTTGACAATTTTCGTTCGACCTGCTTCCAAAAGGTCCCCGTGTCGTCTCAGGTATGGTCGGAATCCTATTGTCTCTCTTCTGGGTACAACTCTCCACTTAAGATCCAGTCTGCCGATTCTCGTGAGAGCGCCGAAGGTCACAACCTCCCCGTCCGGAGACTTGATCAACAGTGAGCAGAGCTTTGCTTCCTGTGGCGGGCTCGGTGCCCGCCGGTGACGGCACAGAAAGTTCGTCGCTGATTGACTGAGCACCTGAGCCACTACCAATCACTTCTCTTGTTGTGTGAGGCTAAGGCATGCATCACTGCACCCTAAAAGTTCCCGGATGTCACTGCCCGCCTGGGCGCCATTTTCTTTCATAATGTACCACATATTACCCCTTTACTATCAAATATTATGCAAGAAAATGTGTTTGGGTTTAACGTGTTTAAGACTCGTTCTTTCTTAGCTTAAGTTACAGATTGGGCAGTCTGCGATCTTCCTAGGTAATTAAAAATGGCTCTTGACGCCGAAAGGACTGTTATGAGACTGCGATCTTAACAAGGTTTGACAATTATATACCTTAGATGTTAATGCAGTTTTCTATAACTGTGCCTCTGCCAACTCCATTTTCATTTGGGTTTTAAGTTTTCCATTTGACATTCAATTTTCCTGTTTAGATTTAACTCAATTATTTTATCCCTTTATCAATTCATTTTCCTAAATAAATTTACTTAGTCTATGTAAACAGGAAATTATCAGTTCATGTTTACTTACTTGGATATCTCTCCATCCTAGATAAGAGGTGTGTGTGCATAAAACAATGCTAATGACAAGAAAACACTTTTTTTAGTGGGTTTTCTAAAAGAATTAAAAGAAAACATCGGGTTTTCCTTAAGGTCCCTGAGTTCCAAAATGAAAAAACATGCAATAAATGAAAACTAGTTCGATTTCATTCAAACATTTTTGACGAGTTTTGTATGAAAAGGGTTTCATTGGTTCAAGTCTCAACACCGTAGCATAAATAGGAAAGGAGAAAAATATATTGAATTATGAGTCAAAAAATTTCCAAAATGGTAAAAAATTAACATCAAACACAAGTGTCAGCTGAAATCATGTCTATGACTCTCAGCTATCACAATAGCATATATTAAAAAAAATCGGACGATTTGCATGAAACTTATACACCTGACTGCACGTAAGCCTATCTGCAATGGTGTAAATTTTGAAGGAAATTGGTTGATGGTTACCCTCAACCACAGACGGCAGCACCTTGGATTGCAATTTTTAATTATTTATATTTCAAGTAACATAAACTGAGTCCCTACTCTTTCATTTTTATTCAAGTTACATAAACTTACACCTTATATGTAAAGTTTATATATCTAAAATCTGATGCCAGCGTTTTTTCCTAGGTTCATTTATTGATTTTATAATAGCAATAAACGTGATATATTTGCATAATTTTTTTTTTTTGAAACTTTGACTTTTTGCATTAGTAAAACTAAACATAATTTGGAAAATCCGCGGCATCAAATCCTTTATTATTTGCTAATGTGTCAGAAAAGTGTCATAGAATGATTATATTTGAAACTTGTGGTTGTAGGTTGCTGTAGGTTACTTGTGGTTGTAGGTTGCTGTAGGTTACTTGTGGTTGTAGGTTGTTGTAGGTTACTTGTGGTTGTAGGTTGCTGTAGGTTACTTGTGGTTGTAGGTTGCTGTAGGTTACTTGTGGTTGTAGGTTGTTGTAGGTTACTTGTGGTTGTAGGTTGCTGTAGGTTACTTGTGGTTGTAGGTTGCTGTAGGTTACTTGTGGTTGTAGGTTGCTGTAGGTTACTTGTGGTTGTAGGTTGCTGTAGGTTACTTGTGGTTGTAGGTTGTTGTAGGTTACTTGTGGTTGTAGGTTGCTGTAGGTTACTTGTGGTTGTAGGTTGCTGTAGGTTACTTGTGGTTGTAGGTTGTTGTAGGTTACTTGTGGTTGTAGGTTGCTGTAGGTTACTTGTGGTTGTAGGTTGCTGTAGGTTACTTGTGGTTGTAGGTTGCTGTAGGTTACTTGTGGTTGTAGGTTGTTGTAGGTTACTTGTGGTTGTAGGTTGCTGTAGGTTACTTGTGGTTGTAGGTTGCTGTAGGTTACTTGTGGTTGTAGGTTGTTGTAGGTTACTTGTGGTTGTAGGTTGCTGTAGGTTACTTGTGGTTGTAGGTTGTTGTAGGTTACTTGTGGTTGTAGGTTGCTGTAGGTTACTTGTGGTTGTAGGTTGCTGTAGGTTACTTGTGGTTGTAGGTTGCTGTAGGTTACTTGTGGTTGTAGGTTGCTGTAGGTTACTTGTGGTTGTAGGTTGTTGTAGGTTACTTGTGGTTGTAGGTTGCTGTAGGTTACTTGTGGTTGTAGGTTGCTGTAGGTTACTTGTGGTTGTAGGTTGTTGTAGGTTACTTGTAGTTGCTGACTATGATAATAGTCAGAGCAAATAAATTTGATTTCCTTTGGCATCTACTTTTTAACTTGTGCTCTGATCCAGAAGTACTCCAAGGTTAAAGATAATTACATCAAATTATTTCTCTATAACATATTAGGTACTGTTGAGAGTACTTTTTACAATATTATTCTAAGTCATATAAAATTTTATTAACTAGGTGTAAATGGTTTATTTACTTGGGAGTTTAATTAAAAAAATTTCTGATGTAAATTATTTTCAGAATTAGTATTGTCCCATCAGATATTTATCATTGAGTAATGCACAAGAAAAACACACTAACATGTAATATCAATGAAAAAATCAATTGGAGCAATGCTGAGGATTTGAACCCTTGAACTGGGTACTGCTATGCCACATGTGGTGGAGAGTTAACTACATTACCTATACCAGGGTGCATGGGAGAGGGGGGGGGATGAGTAAAACCTGGATTGCCTTCAGTACAAGCTTTCAGATGTCTTGTGAATTCAGTGGAATCCCAGGTTGTATAACTTGTACCATGTTGTGGTCCTGAGGTAAGGTGCACGGCCTGGGCGCCTGACAACTGAGTGGACAGCGCTTCGGATTCGCAGTCCTGAGGTTCCGGGTTCGATCCCCGTTGGAGGCAGAGACAAATGGGCAAAAAATTTATTTCACCCTGATGCACCTGTTACTTAGCAGTAAATAGGTACCTGGGAGTTAGACAGCTGCAACGGGCTGCTTCCTGGGGGGGGGGGGTGTAACAAAATGGAGGCCTGGTCTAGGACCGGGCCGCGGGGACGCTAAGTCCCGAAATCATCTCAAGATAACCTCAACGTTGGAATTTACTGAAAATGTGTAAAATTCGTTGAAAAAAATCAAATCTATTTAGGCTGCCGTACTGAAACTTGGGAAAATTGCAGCGCTTTTCATATACAACTAGTCAAAAAAGATTTGTTCACATTGAATAAAGTTAAAAAAACTAACTCATGGCTCCTTAAGAAGCAGCTCTCGGGATGAAGGTTCTCATAATCGACCATTTTCCTGATCGGTGATATGTGATCGACGTAATATTACGTCGTCCATACCTAGATATTTGACTTTCTTCCTGCGTGCCGTGAATAGTTATGACAGCGGCTTTCTTCCTTTTAACCACTTTAAGATCACATTTTCCCCAATGAAAAATATAGAATTTGTCACCGAATTTGTTATGTGGTTTATGTTGTTTACTCTGAGATTGTTAATGTATGATAGTAACTTTCATGATAATTTTACTAATGCTTTTATGATGAGTTTTTTGTACCATCTACAAAAGATTAGACAGAGCTTTAGTCTTGTGTTTTTTTGTTTGTTTGGTGTTGTGTATTTGTCTCGTTGATTGCATATGCGGTTCTGAGGTGTGAGTCGGGTGCAGCATTGCATTTTTTGTTGCAAATGTTGGGTGCTGGGCTTATCAGGCATTACATATACCTGCTGTACTCGGCAAGGTATACTCACCTAGTTGTGGTTGCAGGGGTTAAGCTTCAGCTCTTAGGTCCCGCCACTGAACTGTGAATCAACTGTTGTACAGGTTCCTTTGCATATTGAGCTCTATTATATGTACATATGAAACTATTTATAGAATCTGCCTCCACCACATTACTACCCGGTGTTATGTTTGTTTTTTGTTATGTGTCAGGTTTGTGTTACGTGACTAACGCTCTGTATGCTTACATCTGGGGGTGTACTCGCCGAGTTGTACTCAATTAGTTGTGCTTACAGGGGTAGTGCTCTGGCTCTTTGGCCCCGCCTCTTAAGTGTAAATCAACTGATTTACAGATTCCTGAGCCAACTGGGCTCTATCATATCTACATTTGAAACTGTGTATGGAGTCTGCGTCCACCACATCACTGCCTAATGCATTCCACCTGTTAACTACTCTGACACTGAAAAAGTTCTTTCTAACGTCCCTGTGGCTCACTGTTTCTACTGTGTCACCTTGTTCGCGCACCACCCGTGTTAAACAGTTTATCTTTATCTACCCTGTCAATTCCTCTGAGAATTTTGTAGGTAGTGAGGCATGACATGCCATCCCTTAACCCATGTTGATGTTGTGTCTCAAAGTTCCTTCGCTCCAGATGTTCCACTAGGTGTTATCGAACAATCTTCTCCATCAACTTGCATGGTCTGCAAGTTAGGGACACTGGCCTACAGTTCAGTGTCACCTGTCTATCCCCTTTCTTGTATATCGGGACTACATTTGCCATCTTCCAAATTGTTGTCAGTTCACCTGTTACCAGTGATTTGTTATTCGCTATGGAGAGTGGCAGGCACAGTGCTTCTGCTCCTTCCTTTAGTATCATATGGTGATATTCTATCTGGGCCTATAGCCTTTGTCATATCCATCTCTAGCAAAAGCTTCCTTACATCCCCACTGGAAATCCCAAGCTCCTTTAGTGGTGCCTGGGTCACCAATCCTTGTCTTATCTCTGGACCTTCTCCTTGCTCTTATGTGAAGACCTGGAATTTCTTATTGAGTTCCTTGCACACTTCTTTGTTGTTTTTCTCCTGATGTGGCTGTGCAGCAATTTAGGTTGAGTCTTTGCCATGCTTGCTATTTCGTTTTCGTATTGCCCTTCTGCCTCTCTTCTCACCCAGACGTATTCATTTTTGGCACTCTGGTATCCTTCTCTGCTCTCAAGTGTGTTTGTTTGGTGCTGTGTATATCTAGTGCTATCTGCCTAGTTATTTATTTATAAGGTGCTGTATTTTTCTGACCTCGTGAAAATCTATAGTTGCATTTTTTATGTATGTTGAAACAAACCTGTTGAAAAAGTTTGTAAAGTTTAAATGGATCCAATACGATCAAAGCTCTTTTGAAATACTAAAATGAATCTTATCATCTTCTCCAGTGTTAGATATATATCGTGCCTGTAGACGATATATATATAGCTGATCAGCCATATATCGTGCATATTTGATCAGCCATATATCGTGCATATAGACGCTTCTGATTTGGACGCGGGTCCAGTATTGTATCAAAAGGGAGAAGATAATGTCGATCACTCAGTGTATTACTTTTCCAGAAAGTTTCATAAAGCACCAACAAATTATTCAGTGGATGAAATGGAAGCTTTGGCATTAGTTCTGGCTTACCATAAATACGAAACCTATTTCCAGATAACCAATATAAATGTGTATGAGGATCACAATTCATTAGTATTCATGAAGAAGATGACATTGAAAACTAGAGAATTCTTTGGTGGTCCTTATATATTCAGGAATTTAACATTGTTATCCACCACATACCAAGGGAAGGAAAATGACATGGCTGATGCTCTGTCAAGGTTCTCCCCGAGGAAGTGGACCAGATAACCGACTGAGTCCGGTCATTTTGCCAGGCTGTTCCCGCTTCTGAAACACAATGTGATTACCTTAGGTAATCATGTAAATGTAGTGTATTGTTATATTGTATGAAAAGATGTGTGCACTCACCTAGTTGTACTCACTTAGTTGTGCTTGCAAGGGTTGAGCTCTGGCTCTTTGGTCCCCGCCTCTCAACTGTCAATCAACTGGTGTACAGATTCCTGAACCTACTGGGCTCTGCCATATATACATTGGAAACTGTGTATGGAGTCAGCCTCCACCACATCACTGCCTAATACAGTCCATCTATTTAATGCATTCTGTCTGTTTCCATTTGTGGACACGCACGCATGTGTGTGTATGCATGCGTGTTAAATTAGGAGTGAGATGGTACGTTTAGGTCTCTCAGGGCGCTCAGGGCATTGCGTGACCGGATGTTGGTATCGGTGGTACAAACCCTGATTTGCCACATGTTTTCTTGAGAGATCTGATTTATATTTGCACTTGTCTAGATTAGTGGGCATCATACATTAAGTGAGTACATTAATGTTTATAAGTACATGTAGGCTAAGTTCTTGAAACTGTTTTTATTCCGAGATGAGATTTCCATGTTATGTTGAGAAGCGTGAGTCAGTCCGGTCATCTGTTTGCCGTGCGGTATTCTGTTGACAACTACCTTTATGTTTCAATTTCAGCATTATCATGTATACTGTCAGTATTCCATGCAGCGTCCCTTCAGAAATTGCCTATGTTTTTTATCCATCAATTGTGCGTAAAGTTTCATACCCTAGTTTTACCTGAGAATATTTTAGTCTCTCAGGTAATTTTAGTATTTTAGTGTTTTAATTTGATTTGTAATCAACTGAGGAACTTAAGATAGCTGGTCAGTGCTACCACCCTAGTTATAATGTAGACATATATTTATATACTACGTAATTCAGGAAGAGATTATTCATTATTTAATATGTTGAGCAAGAAAATTACTAGCATTGTATGACTTAGTAATCTCTAGGTAAATGATGGTGGGTTTCAGAGATATGTTTAGTGTTGAGTTACCCATGCATATTGCCTCGGGAATGTTGATACTGGTGCAGGCCACCTGTAACCTGGGACAAGATTCACGTGGCAGGTACGCATGCACTTACGAATCTTTACATCTTGTCTCAATCTTTGGCGGCTTTGTTTACAATTATTTAACAGTTAATGTGCTCCGAAGCACCAGGAGGCTGTTTATAACAGTAACAACAGTTGATTGGGAATTTTTCATGGTTGTAAACTGTTTAATAAATGTAACCAAAGGCTTCAAAGATTGCTGAAAGGTGTACACGTTCGTAAGTACTTGCGTAACTGCTACGTGAATCTGGCCCCAGGAGTGCGGGTTTTGAGTCAGTTGTAGGTTGGCAGCGTGCGAAGATGGTTTGAGGTTTGCCGTGAGTGCAGCAGCTCATTAAGTATTTATGGTTAAGTTGATATAACAGTTTTAGTTTCTTATGTGTTTCAAGTGTGAGTCCCTAATGGAGAGTTAGTTATCCATTTTCCTTGATTTACTTATGTTAACCTGATTTTGGTTCTGAATACTTGACCGGTTACATTTACTATAACCTTAAGTGTATATATGAGTGTGTTTGTGTGTCGTGTCTTAATATATTACTGGTGTATACTTCAACTAG